TGAGTTCTCTTCATCCACAATGTAGGTCCTGAGGAGCAAACTTGGGTGGGTCAGGTTTGGTGGCAAGTGCCCTCACAACCTGAGCCACCTAGCTGGTCCAAGAAAACAGTATTTTTATGAAGCCTTCATATGTACAATTTAGAAGTAGTTTCCTTCTGTAATTTGATCTAAATAGTCTATAGGTTTTCAGTTGCTTCATGTTACTCATTTGATTCATAAACTTTAAAGGTAGGATTATTAATTAAATATAATCTAAAACCCTAAAATTTGAAGTTTTTCTCTTCCTTACTAAAATGAGAAGTTAACAAAGAACTAAATTACTTTGGAAGTGTAGTATGGAAGAGAAACATTGAGGCCACCTACTTTGAAGTTACATTAAAAACCCTCTGGGAAAGAAAAGCAGTTAAAAATACAAAAGGCAATCAATCAAGCAGTCTCTCTCTCTCTCTCTCTCTCAGATTTTTACTTATTTTATGAGTGTTTCGCTTGCATATATGCATGTGATGCACAATGAGATCAGAAGTGTCAGATTCCCCTGGAACTGGAGTTACAGATAATTGTGAGTCACCTGTGGGGTACTGGGAACTAAACCTGGGCCCTGGGCAAAAAATAGCAAGTGCTCTTATCCACTGAACCATCTCTCCAGCCTCAAAAGTCAATTTTTTTAAAACAAATTCAAAAACACCTTTTCCTCAAAAAAGAAAGAAAAATGTCTTGCCATCATTCACTGTCATTGGAGTTAGCTTCAAAGTTTAAACAAATGAAAATTACATAGAAATTCAAGAAAAAACACAATTTTAAGAAACAAAATTTGTGGCTTGGAATGGTTGGCACATGTTTTTTTTTTTTTTTTTTTTTTTTTTTTGTTTTTCGAGACAGGGTTTCTCTGTGTAGCTTTGCGCCTTTCCTGGAGCTCACTTGGTAGCCCAGGCTGACCTCGAACTCACAGAGATCCACCTGGCTCTGCCTCCCGAGTGCTGGGATTAAAGGCGTGCGCCACCACCGCCCGGCTGGCACATGTTTTTAATTCCAGGATTCAGGAGTCAGAGGCAGGCAGATCTGAGTTCGAGGCCAGCTTGGTCTACAGAGCAAGTTCCAGAACTCTCAGGGCTACACAAAGACACCCTGTCTCAAAAAGCAGTAGGGGGGGAGGGTGTGAGAAGAAGGAGGAGGAGGAGGAGGAGGAGGAGGAGGAGGAGGAGGAGGAGGAAAGGAAAAAAAAAACAAAATTCATGTGCTCAAATTTTATTAGTATCCTAACACCTAGATTTAGATATCCAGAAGAGAAAACGGCAAAGAAAATTACAGAATGTTTCTCAAAGAAGCAATATAATCATTTTTGTAAGTTAGCTTTTGGGAGGTTTGGGGGGTTTTTTTGGGGGGAGGGGTTGGAGACAGGGTTTTCTCTGTGTAGCTTTAGAACCTGTCCTGGAACTCGATCTGTAGACCAGGATGGCCTAAAACTCAGAGATCCTCCTTCCTCTGCCTCCTGAGTTCTGGGATTAAAGTTGTGTGCCACCACCACCCAGTGAGATCCTGTCTTTTTAAAAAAAATAGAAATAAAAAAAGTATGATCAGTGTTTAATGCTGGCTGATGACTTAATATTTTCTGAACTTTTTCACAAGAAAAATTATTTAAGTTGTACACTTTTTTAAACTAGTGCTAGGGAGTGAATGGAGGGCCTTATACATGTCAGACAAGTATGCTACCACTAACTTATATACCTACCTCAAGAAAAATGACTGTAAATAGATTTTTACACACTAAAAGACCCAGTGATGCTTTGTAGTCAAGAACCCATTTCTCGAGGGCAGGTTAGATAACTCAGTCAGTGAAATGTCTACACCAACGAGAACCTGTGTACGGATCCCCAGCACCTATGCAAAAAGCCAGTGGTAGGGAGGTATGTGTCTGTGACCCCAGCATGTGGGTCTGAGGCCCAATGGCTAGCTGGGCTTGCAGAATGCAAGAGGAGCTCTAGGGTAAGTGAGGGGCCTTGGTTCACAATAAACTACGTGGAGTGACTAAGAAAGATGCCCAATGTTGACCACTGGCCTCTACTTGCACCTACACACACACACACACACACACACACACACACACACACACACACACACACATTTATACATGTACAAACAGAGAAGAGAACCTCTTTCTGTGTTCCTGATTGTCCCAGGACTCCACTTACCCAAGTGACTAAAATCTAGTCCTGTTGTTTTCAGAGAGAATATACGGTCTTAGAAACAAGGACTGCATCCTTTTTTATATTGTGTATGTGTTCATGTTGTGGGTAGGCAGTGTGCACACCAAGGCATGTCTGTGGAGGTCAGAGAACAACTCTGTGAAGTCATTTCTCTCCATCCACCTACACACAGGTTCTAGGGATCCAACTTGTTTCTAGGCGTGCACAGCCAGCACCTTTACCTACTGAACAATTTCACCAGATCCAAGGACTGTACTAATTGCCTGAATATGTCTAGTAATTCAATAAACATGACAATAATCACTTTACATTCAAATGTTTAAGTTTCAAATAAAATTAAACAAACATCTTCAACAAAATGTCTAATATAAGCTACAACTGTTTCTTTAAATAAATGGAGTTTATTGCTAATAAAAAATATTAATTTCAGATAACTGAAAATGAAACAAGTACAAAACCACCATACTCAATCAAGGACAGAGTAAACCGTTAGCCATCCTTTGTCATCTTTAGCAATACTCACTCTTGAGAGATTCTGATGAGGAGAATCACAAAGGCTTTCACGGGCACTTTCATTCCTATAATTGTGTTTTCTTGGGCTTTTAGGTCGTGTTCGACTTGGCATATCACTATCTGAGGGTCCAGATGCATCCATCTTCAGATAAAGTTTTAAAAATGGTTTCAAAAATGACATCCATGGTATTAAAAACTAGAATTAATCCAAAGTGTCTACATATTGACAGTTTTCACTAGGTTATCTAAAAAACACATTATTAGCAACACCAAGTTCATAAGTAAATTCCTTAAGTGATTTTCTAACCCTGACTTACCCTTGAAAGCTCAAAATATTACACTGGAAACATCTGTTACTCTTCCCTTCTCTTTCAAGAAAATCATCTGTCAAATACCCAAGTCAGATAATGGGTTTATTAGTTCATAAAGCAGTTATGAACTACTACAAACACACTTTAGTAAGTAGCAGACCTTCTATGTACTTGTTTCATCACAGGATATGAAAACCAAAGACTCATACACGAGTGGAGTCTTAACAATTTTACAACTTTACTTTTTTTTGTTTTAACAATACTCATTTTTTTTTTCTTTTGAGTCAAGGTCTGTTAAAATAGTGGGTCAGCTTCAATTTCATGATCCCATGATCTTCCTTCCTGCTTTATCCTCCCAAATGCTGGGGCTACAGGCATAGCCCCACCCTGCTCATCCACTAAAATATCCTTAAACTAGCATACTTTACTGTAGAAGATGGGAATGAATGAAACAGTTTATTTTGGAGTCACTTCCTTGATTCATGCTAATGTGCCAATATTTTGCCTACCAGCTTCTGTACTATCAGGGAAAATGTCAACACAATGAGAAAGGCAAATAATGCCTTGGCATTTTTACAAAAGGGTTTTTTTATTTTGGTCTACATGAAGCATGGGAGGAGAGCACATGTGCACTTGTTTGTGCAGGAGTCTGGAAGCCAGAGGTTGTTGTCAAGTATTTTCCCTAGTCACTTGCCACATTATTATTTGAGGCAAGGTCTTTCACTGAACCTGAACAGAAGCTGGCTAGCCACCAGAGTGCTCCAGGGATCCATCCACCTGTCTGTCTCCCCAGGACAAAGAGTAAATGAAACATAAACCACCATGCCCAGCTTTCACACAGGTAGTGTGGTGAGCATTTTACCTACTGAGCCATCTCCCAAGCCCCTATTATGAAATAGCTGAGTTCATACACTTCTAAAAGGTTCTCAACAGCTTGTAGGAGGAGTCTGCACACCATACTTTGAATACTGTTATAACACAGGAAAAAAGTATTCATTGCAACATTCAAATGCCAAAAAGCTTTAAATGAAAAAGGTATATAACCACTAAGAAAACAAATACATGTAACTTTCTTTTTTTTTTTTTTTTTTTTTTTTACAAAGAAAGTGACATGCCCCAGATTTAAGAAGCAAAAAAAAACAGAACTCATGAAATGGAAAAGCCTAATTGTGAGGATAGTATGGAATCTTAAAAACATTTTATTTTTTTTTTTTTTGTTTTT